TCCGTTCGCCAACGAAGGTTGGAGGAAATCTTGAAAAGAGGCTTGAAGCATCTCTCAAGATTCAGGATCTGGATGATCTGAACCCATCTGCTCAGAGACCAATGGTATCAAGCGGTGGGAACACCTCTCCGGTGATTGGAACCCAGAGTCCTATGGACACAGGTGACCACGATGGCGGTGCGTCTAATGCTAACACCCAGAGCATGGTGAACTCAGGTGACGGCAGCATAGAGACCAGGAAGAAAGCAGAATACTTCACCGGGGCTCAGAAAAGACGCATCAAGGCCATGATTAGGGATGGATTGGATTTGGAGACTGCGAAGCAGAAAGAGAGAGAGCGATACTCTCTCTACAAAGCTTCCTTGGCAGCAGAAGGAGAAAGTGACAGACCCAGTACCAGCAAAAGGTGCAGATCTAATAACACATCTCCTGAAGAAACACAACGCCCGCAGTCCAAAAAGCCAAAAGCCACTCAACAAACATCTACCTCTACCGGAAACCAGCTAAAACCGACTCCATCTTACAGGGATGTAGCCAATGCTTGCAAAGTGGCTATCGCCCATGAGAAATATCCGGAGGTGAATCTCACTGGTGACCAAATGGAGTTGATAAAATCGAAGCTCCTGGAAGAAATTGACAAACTTCCCAAACACAATAGTGTCTACGGCTTCATCACCAGTGTTAACAGAGACGGATGGCTCTCATTAACATGCTGCAATGGTGAAACGAGGAACTGGCTGACCACCTGTGTCCCAAAACTCAAACCATTCCCGGATGCTATTCTCAAAGTGTTTCATGGCGAAGAGATGCCCAAAACCTATGTGTGCATCACATTTATTCCCCCCTCTGCTGTGCTACCACCAGAAATTCTGATGTCCCGCTTGGAAAAACAAAATGGTGGCATTTGCACATCATCGTGGAGAATTCTCAGGACTGAGAAAGATAAGAATGGTGGGGAAACCGTTACGATCTCGGTGGACGAAAAATCCAAAAATTGGATAGTCGGTCAGGCAGGGAAGCTGTATCTGAACTTCACACAAATTCAAGTACGTGTGAAGGGAGAGCCAACTGGACCCAAGAAACTGACGACTAAAAGGCCATTTACGACGGAGAAACCCAGTGACGTCAAGCAACAAAGGCCTCCATCCAAAAGGCCGCTTTCAGGTGATAGACCCAGTACCTCAAAAGCACAGGCAGATAAGCCAAGTGAGACGGTTAAGGTCACACGGGACAGCACACGAACTGAAGTCGGACCCATCACCTCAAAACAGCAAGGTGGCACACCGGTATCTAGCATAAAGGACCAGAAGCAAGGGCCAAAGAAACCAGCTTTAAGATCCCCTCGACAGGAAGCACCCACTCATGGAACAAAATTGCCCAAATGGATGCGGAACGGTAAAGGACGATACCAATAAAATGATGAGGTGCCTGCAGGTTAATCTTCAACACGCCAAAGCTGCTACGGCGGTGTTGACACAGCGACTTCTATCTGAAAAGATTGACATAGCCTTTATCCAGGAGCCATATGTATATGAGAACCAGATAAAGGGAATAAAAGGTAAGCTACGATCATGCCAGCCATGGTCGACCTCGTGCTTGTATTGTGGTAAGAGATGACATTAATGCTTTCATTATTCCACAGCACACCAACAAGGACCAGGTAGCAGCTATAATTTCCGTGGACACCCCAGTAAGTAAGACAGAGCTCATTGTCTGCTCATCTTACCTACCTGGAGACTCCCAAGACCTGGACTTCCTATCACT